TTTTTTTTTTTTTTTTGTATAGTGAAGATAAATCCTGAGTATTACTTTTTGGGAATAAATCTACAGTTTATCCCTTTTCATGAAAAGAGTTTTGGCAAGACTTGTAGCCCTACATGTCCAGTTTTGTCCTCTGAGGAGCTGAAGTTACGCTTCCTCTGTGCTCTACTTAGTGCTGTGATTAAGAAGCTGGTTGCCAGTTCACTTTCAATATCAGAATTCCTGTTTGGTTCTTTGCTTTCCTCCTGCTTTTTATCTTTGACAGTCCACAGGTCCGAGCTGATGTGTGTAGATGTATATTTCATTCTGTGTGCTCTACTTGCATTTTTACAAGTTCTTGAAGAAGTCCTGCTGAACTACTGGCTTTCTATCTCTCATCACTTCTGGATAGCACTGAGCTGATGTGTTTTGGAAAAGTGCTTTGTGCTTCATTTCTTCTTCTCCTGTTGCTTAGAACAGGCATTCTCTACCATTCCTTTCTTGGTATTTTTCAGATATATCTTCAAATTAATCTACTTATCTATTCATTATATACATTAGGATTTGTTTTCTGCAGAAGCTGTTTTCATTTCTGCAAATTCTGTGTGGCTCATTTTCTAATCCATGAACTACTTTTATAATTGACTTCTTTGTTTTCTTACGCGTCGGGAACATCCTGTCTTCCCCGGTAACCCTCATGTCTGAGGTGTTCAGCGTGCAAGCTGGCTGCTGTGCCTCTGCGCAGTGTCTTGCTTACGCCTTTTGGCTGAGTGTGTTTTGTACCTCTCGATTGTGAGTTCACATTTCTTGGAGATGTATTTGCAGCAGTTACTTGACACCTGTCTAGTGGTGATTTTTCTCATTTATTTCCATCAGTCACTGAAGTCAATCTCCTGCCATCAGCCTAAACTCATCAGAAACTAATTTGTTTGGAGGTTTTAGGTCCACCTAGGTTGTATAAATTCAGGCCATAAAGCACAGCAAGGGCAAGGTCTGAAGTTGTCAAGACATGGGGAATGCTTATCTTTGCTTGCCTTATGATGCTGAAATGGGAGACAGGCAAATTCCTCGCAGTCCCTTGCATGGAAGTGTTGAGGGTGGGGAATCCTGGCCAGGGGCTTTCATTTCACCCTGACCCTGAAGTTCTGCTCCTATGGAGTGCCTGTTTCATTTGTGAGATCTCTGTGGATTTCCCATTTCCATGGGCCCTGGGATATGTTTTATTCACATGAGCTACTCAGCCATGAAAACCGAAGTGCAGCTTTATCTAGTTCAGCAAAATCTGTAAAGTCAAGCTGGTCTCAAAAGTCAGAAGGCTTTTGTGGGTTTCTGTGCTTTGTTTTTTCAAATGTCAAAAATTGTGACTAATTTTATCAGTACCTATAAAAGATTTAAAAATATCCTTCCCAATATCTTTAGTTGTCGTTAGTGATGGAGGTGACGAGAATGATTCTGCTATCAGCACACTGTTCACTGGTGTTTCAGTTGTCACATTTTTCCAGACAGGCTTTGACACTGCAGAGAAATTCCCCTATGTTTTAAGGCAAGCAAAAAATTCTGTCTCTTTCCTCCCTTCCCCTTGTCTTTGTAAACATCAGGAATGTGCCAACTCTCTGAAAACCACATCAGGCTTAAGTTTCAGAATTCCTAGAAAATTCCAGTTTATCCTTCAGCATGCAAACAGAGGAAGTGTGTGTGCGCCTCTTGGAGTGATAGAAATCTGACAGTACACAGTGGCTGAAGCTGGGCCAAGTCTCTACAGAAAGATATGGGCTCAGTGTCTGATGTTACAGCGTGGTGTCAGCAGGGCCAGCGAGCAGTCAGGAAGGATGGATGTGAGATGAGGGAGAGAAAAAAAAAAAGAGCAGGAATCTGTTAGAATGAGTGAAAACGCACGATGACTGGATGTAGAAAAGCTGCTACCCTTCTTCCTGAACGTGAGCATGCACCTGGCATAGGCTCTGGAGAAGCCCAGAGGGGCATGAAGGGAATATCCAAGGCACTGATGCCCTGGCTGGCACTACTAGGAAGCTGAAACACTGGGTGATGTGCTACAGTAGCTGAGGCTTTGCATCCGTCATCACCAGAAAAGTAGGATGGTGACTGCTTCATTCCTTCTCATGATGCCACACACAGCCACGTGCACTCATGGAAGCCACTCTGGGAGACGTAGTGCCATTTAGGTATGTGGACACATAATAATCTACTCCTACATGTCTCTTCATATGTCTGCCTCATGTTAAACACGCTGAATCTAGAAGCAGCATGTTTAGATTAATTGGTTAAGAAGGAAACAGATTCTTTTCTAATTAAGTAAGCCTTTATCTTAAGTCAATTAAGAGTTAGTTAGAAAGTATTCTATATGCAATAGTATTTAAAGTCTATGTGTTAAGCTGCTAGTGTGTAGAGATCTGTGTGTACATGTCGAATTGACAAAGAAAAACTCTGCAAGTCGTCCCAGGGTTCTGCTTTAAAGGTTGAAGAAGTTGGGTCTCATTAAAAAGCAATTTTAGAAAAGCAGTGATATTTTTCCTCTAGAACAAAACTATTTCGAGGTTTGCTTCATGAAACACAAGCTGGCTCTCACAAAACCTTTTTAATCAGCCCTTGGCTTCACCATGGGTTGATTTATTTAATAGACCCTTTTTAGAAAAAGATTTACTTATTTTTACTGGAAAGGCAGTTATACGGAGAGGAGAGACAGAGAGGAAGATCTCCCTTCCAATGATTTATTCCCCAAGTGACTTCAACGGCCAGCGTTACCCTGATCCAAAGCCAGGATCCAGGAACTTCCTCCAGGTCTCTCACATGGGTGCAGGGTCCCAAGGCTTTGGGCCGTCCTCTGCTGCTTTCCCGGGGCACAGGCAGGGAGCTGGATGGGAAGTGGAGCTGGTGGGATTAGAACGTGCACCCATATGGGATCCCAGCTCATTCAGGGTGAGGATGTTAGCTGTTAGGCCACTGCACTGGGCCCTAAACAGACATTTGTTATATTAGGCCCAAAGGTCTGAATGCCAGACTGGCAATGACTGGTTTCTGTAGAAATTGGGGCATTTATTTGGTGAACAGGCATTTACTGAGTTCCTAGAACAGCAGAAAGATGGAGTTTTTCAGCTACTCATAAGACAGAATTAACTCTTGCCAGAATGTTTGTTATTTAGGATGAAGTACACTAAGTAACCATTTGTTTATGACAGTAAGGAGTGCAGGAGGGTTTATAAAGCTTGAATTATAACATGAACAGTGGGAAGGCTAGGTGGCTGGGAGCAACTTCTGCAGACATTAGAAAGTCGAGAGTTAGCGCCATAAAAGATGAGAGTGTTGAAGCAGAACAGTATGTAAGTGAAGACTGTGAGGAGACAAATAAGCGAAAAGAAATGTAAAGAGAATAGATAGGTAGAGAGAATAGAAATTCAAAGAGGATAGAATAAACAAAGTATGGCTTTGCAGAGTTTGATGAAACAATAAAGGGTTTTAAGAGAAGACTGTAAAAGGCAAACGGGTAAGTGCCGCATGATCTGATTCCATGATGCACACAATACTGTCACAATTAGATTTATGTGTGACTGGACCTGGAGAGGGGCAGATATGTGGTCAGATACGGAGCTGGGTGGGTGTGGGAGTGTGTTTTGGATCAGATTAACACCCGGATCCGCAGGCCGTGGAAAGTAGTCCAGCTTCATCTGGCAAATACAACAACGCCAAGTAAGAAGGACCTTTGCATGCTTGACTTTCTGTCCTCTGAAACATACATGGTTTGTACCTCTCTGGGTCTGCGGACTTTCGATTTGGGCTGCATCTACACTGCCAGCTCTGCAGCTGGCCGAGATCTTAGGGCTTTTGGTTTCACTGGATTGATGAGCAGAGGGTGGCCAAGAAAGTGGAAGTAAATGCAAAGAAAGAAGCTGAGAGTGTTTCTCTAGGTGAAAAAAGATGGGAGTGTGGATTTACTGAAAGAATGTATTAAGACTGGTTTGCAGTGTTTTGGGGTAAGTGGTAGACTGTGAAGACGCAGAGTCTTGCAGAAAAGGAAGAAATGAAGAAGATAAACAGAGCAATTTCAGGGCGGAAGGACATGACACTGTTGTGTACTGGAGCGGATATATTGAAGCATCAATTAGAACGGAAAGCTTAAGGGCTCGAGAGAGGAAGGTACTGTATTCGATTGTGAATCTGAAACCTCAAAAGAATATGCACAGACACAGGCTGATGCTTTGGGGTCTTTGCTTTTCTGGTTGATGAGATGAGGAGTGTGCATTTTGGCAACTGGTTGAGCCATTCACAGTGTGGATGGAATCCTGGTGAACCACTTTCCTGTGGAATATTCCCATTGTATGGCTAGGAAAAAAGGTTCTAACAAGAATTACAAAGTTTCAAATCTCTGTTGCACTCTGAGGGAGTTTTCACAGCTTCTGTTTTAAAAAAGAAAAGGTTTTGATCCAGGGAGAACTAGAAGGAAACCAGGCACACCTCTTAGGGCAGTGAAGATCTGAGATTTTTCCCTATGTAATCAGCATTTTCTGGCATATGTCTGCATTGATTTGAAAGCTGTCTTTCTTGGCCCAAATTCCGTTTTCAGTTCCTGAAACACAAGGCAACAACTCTGTCCCTTTCCTTCTCCGGTTCGACTCAGAAGTCTCATGAATCAAACGCTGCACAGAAGTTTAAATGCTATCACAAGGTCTGCTTTTGAACCTCAGGGAATAATTCACTTGCTGCTGGCATTATCAGTTTGTTCTTTCTGTCTCAGGCTCATTTTTTGTTGAAATTGTTTTTGTTGAAACAGTGATTACTTACCCAGATTTCTCATTTTCATTTCCTTCATCATAAGAATCTACATTAATCACATCCAAACCTAGACAAGGTTTTAGATCTTAGTGTGCCCCCCTCTTCAGTGAGTGAAGACAATGGCTTTTGTTACTTTGGGGAGCGACCTTGAGAACATCATAACGAGTGAGTGATGTCTGTGGTAGCCGAAACAGAAGAGAATTAGCATAGGGTTTTTGTTTTTTCTTCCCCCCCAGGAAACTTCGGAAACACCAACGACTAGGATGCGAGTTATAAGTTTGATGAAGAAATAATTGAAGAAAGTTAAGATTGTAGGGGAATTCATTCAGAAAACACTGGTGGAAAGGTCTAACATGTTGGCCTATGTTTGTTCAAAGCAGCTGGAATATTTCAGTGTGCTCGGAAGTGCACAGGGAGCTTCTGCAGCACAGCAGGGCTCTCCGAACACAGGGCCGCCTCTGTATTTTCAACCCCCTGATTTGGAGATGGAAAGCATGTGACAGACTGGCTTGGCAGTTGTACATGTTACACATCCTTCAGCTGTAACATGGAACACTGCCCTTCCACTGATGGGAAAAGCACAACATGACACTGCTTTTGGGGGCAGGAAGCTGGCGTTGCAGACAGATGCTGACCTCATGCATGCTGCTTCAGGCATCATTAAACAGGGAGACTTTGTGAGGAATGTGTCTTAGGTGATGTCACCCTAGTGTCTGTGTGGTACAGGTGCAGCACAATATACTGTCCTGTAAGTGGGAGCACATTGTATAATAGCTGTGACATAAAAGTTAGCAATTGATTCTTGTTATTATCAAGTACTACATATGGTACATAGTTGGTTGAACTACATGCTGTTGGTGGTTCAGTGAAATTACTGCTAACAGATTCACCAAAACCATGTCAATTATGCAACATGCATTGATGGAAAATAGCTATGACATCCCTAGGGAGCAGATTTTTCAACTCTTATGCCCTTAGGGGACCATTATTGTGTAATACATGGAAAATGTGCATCATCTTTTAATGTCATTCTTGAAGATGTTTTTGTGCTCTCCTGTGTATGGGACTCGTCGTGGATGAGCTGTAACGTGCTTCTAGACTGTGCTTGATAGAGTGACTTGCTGCAATACCTACGCCACAGGTTTACTGCAGCTCTGGTGTGAATCTAAAGATAGTATGTCTCTGAAAAAACAGGATCTTTGATTTATAATGAATGTGTGTAAGAAGGTGGCATTATTTATGTCAGTTTAGTGTGCACAGTTGTCAAGCAACTTCTGTATTAATTGTAAGTGTATTAGTTCTCACTGAGTCTTCAGGTACTCAAAGTGCAATATGTTTCTTGACATGTAAATTGTAGTTTGAGACATTACTGTTTTAGTTGTGCTGTTTGATCTGTACAAGGGAATTAATCGCCTTTTCAAAAAGCGTGCTGTATAAATGCAATGCAACATGGAAAGTAACCGTGAGGGATAATTTGATGGTGGACAGTATTCAAAGAGCTGCGTGTTGTGTCCCACCATGTAACTTGATCTCAAAGTTTAAAAGTGTTCAATTTGAAAAATTTTGTCATTGCCTCTGACCTCCTCTATAGCCATTGTGACTTATTTATTTTTGAGTTTCACCTTTCTAATGTTTGTTTCAAAAGACACTTGTAGACCTAGGATTTCCATGTGAAGGTTCAATGCCAAATTCCAGTGACAGAGTTAGGATAGCATCAGTGACTCCATGTTATCTTGGGTGTTTTTCACTATATAGTGTTGCTCTTGGGATTCAGCACCAGCATCATTTGTGAAAGGGAGCAGCTGGATATGCCAAGAGATTAAATGTTGAGGTCAAAACTATGGCCTGAAAGCTCAAATTTTCTGGTGTCCATGCAGGTAGTATGCTTTATAATGCTAGATGATTCTGATGGTTGAAAAACAGTTGTGCATCCTTGGGAAGAACTCTGCTTTTGTAACCTATGTCCTTTGGTGCTTCTGTACATCAGCCCTGGAAAGAGCCGTTTTGTTTAGTCAGGCCAAAGACAAAACTGCCAAGAAACTCCTATGTGAGAACCCTGGGGATGTTACAGCTGTGCTCGTGTGACTGAAAACAGGTTCACCCTCAGGCCTTGTTCTTGATCTGCTCCTTCTCACAGAGGCCTGCATGGACCACCCTTCATATTCATTCCTCTGTGACACTTTATACTACTGGGCAGAATTTGCCATGGTTTTTTGTTTACTTGTTGTAATTTCTCTCTTTCTCTGAGTTCAGGGTAGGCATCCCAGTAGCTTTATGCCCATAATCAGGCGTGTTGGCTGATTTTCAATAACAAGGTGTGCAATTCATGGCTTAGAATGTTTAACCTACAATCTGCCTGTAATTTTTTTTAAAGTTGTTTTTAAAAGAAACAGATTTTATGGATACAATTCTGAATTTTAATAAAACTTTTTTTTTCTTTTTGGCTCTGCACAAACAAAAACACTCTTTCCCTTCTTCCCTTCTTCCCTCTATCCTCTTGGTAGGATTCTGAACACTCTGAGATGATTATTGCACAGAGTTGTATTAGAATTGGCTGTCATGTTACTGTTATCTTACATGAACTTGCATGTTAAAACAAAACTCAGCATACCATGAAGGTTACTTTTGCAATGCTTTTTAGGTTTTATTGAAAGTACACAATTTCTACTGTTAAATTTCAAGTGATTTTCCCCGCATGTGTTAGTAATCCATGGCACCTTTCTATATTGTTTTACAAATGTCATGGGAGGGACTATAGGATTAATGTTTAAAAATTTTGTCTTCAGACTCATGGTTTTCACTCAAAGCATCTCCACCTGCTGGAATCTTGACCTCAGAGTAATCCTGAACCTGCCTTGAGTCTGCACTGGTCCTCATGCTTAGTAAAGGAGAATGCTATTACCCTCTAAGGACTGTAAGGAAATGGGATGTGGAAATGTATGTGAAAGCTTAAGGAGGTACAGGATACATAATGCATGCTATAAGCAAGAGGTTTTATTATTGCATTCAGATAAAAATTCAGTCACAACTCTTCATTCCCTCTTATAAGTATACCCTCTGATAAATTTGCTGGGATTGATGGCATCTTTTATGCCCTTTAATATTTCATCACTTAAAAAAAAGTGTACTTCTTTACATAGTGGCCTCATTAAGGACTTTGCAAAGAGGTTAAGTGCCAAGAGTAATTTTAATTCAAAAATGTTCAAAGACAGAAGACCAAAGAAGCCCATTCTTCCTCCATGCCAAGTGTTTCACTTTTATAAGATTGCTTCAAAGTTTAAGGACTCTGAGCAAGTAAAGCTTGGCAGATTCTTTGTGAAACTTGTCCACTCCCTTTGCCAGAGCTCGAAGCAGAACCTTTCCAACCTAAAAGGCTCTTGTGCACTGTCATTGGGAGTTGGGATTTTGTAGCTAATAATGTTTGTGAAAATTTGAGTTGTCTAAGGTATTTGCATATAAAATGCAGACATCATCAGTGTTGGATGAGATACTGGGTAAGTGTTCCTGTACCTTACATGAATCAAGACATTCATACAGTGATGCTTTCCTAATTGACATAGACACTAAATAATTGATTTGAATTTCAGAGAAGTGATGAACACTCCCACAAGCTCCACTCTGTTTGAGCACTCATTATCAAGTTTTTGCAGTAAGATCTGGTGCTCTTTGAGCTTTTCCTAGCCCCAGTAATGAAGCTGACTCCAGGTGCAACAGACAGGCTGTTGATTTTAGTTAAGATCTACATAAAATCGCAAGTGTGGTTTGGATTTTTCATGTACATGAAATCATTATCTTTGATTAGGACTAAAAGTCCATATAATTGGAACTCTGTGTTAAAGCAGAAGCAGCACTGAGAGTGGATTGTCGGCACCTATTCTGCTGCCTTGTAGCCCTGGGGACCCAGTTTCTTTTTGTCAGTGAAAGAAAGACTTGGAAGAGTGATTGAAAAGGTGTCTGTCTCAGCCGTAAAATCTATATCGTTTGCATTGCATCAGCGAACAGATCTTGAAAGATTAATAGAAAGCAAGTACTGACTATAATGCAATAGAGCACTTGCATAGGGTCGAGTGATTTTGATGTACTCTACTTTCTAGCCCAACTCTCTTTAGACTCTTCCCTGGAGTGGTTTGCAAGCCAGTGGTTAGATGTTGCAGCTTAACATTACTGGAAAGCCAGCTCTAGGATGTAGTGATTATGTGAAAGTACATTAAACAGTTGTGGAAGATGGAATTTAAATATAATTTAATAATAGTACAAATTGAGATCCATCAGCGTATTTTTATTGGAAAGGTGGATATACAGAGAGGAAGATCTTCCGTGCAATGAATCATTCCCCAAGTGAGTGCAACAGCCAATCCAAAGGCAGGAGACTCTTCTACGTGGGTGCAGGGTACCAAAGGTTTGGGCCATCCTCGACTGCTTTCCTGGACCAAGGCAGGGCTGCCGGGATAGAAGCAATGGCTGGGTGTGCAGGCTGAGGATCTATGGGTAGGTGTCGGTAGGTAGGCATTTCTGTCCTTTCTCTCCCATTGCTTGGGCAGGTCTTGTCTTGTCTTGTCTTGTCTTGTCTTGTCTTGTCTTGTCTTGTCTTGTCTTGTCTTGTCTTGTCTTGTCTTGTCTTGTCTTGTCTTGTCTTGTCTTGTCTTGTCTTGTCTTGTCTTGTCTTGTCTTGTCTTGTCTTGTCTTGTCTTGTCTTGTCTTGTCTTGTCTTGTCTTGTCTTGTCTTGTCTTGTCTTGTCTTGTCTTGTCTTGTCTTGTCTTGTCTTGTCTTGTCTTGTCTTGTCTTGTCTTGTCTTGTCTTGTCTTGTCTTGTCTTGTCTTGTCTTGTCTTGTCTTGTCTTGTCTTGTCTTGTCTTGTCTTGTCTTGTCTTGTCTTGTCTTGTCTTGTCTTGTCTTGTCTTGTCTTGTCTTGTCTTGTCTTGTCTTGTCTTGTCTTGTCTTGTCTTGTCTTGTCTTGTCTTGTCTTGTCTTGTCTTGTCTTGTCTTGTCTTGTCTTGTCTTGTCTTGTCTTGTCTTGTCTTGTCTTGTCTTGTCTTGTCTTGTCTTGTCTTGTCTTGTCTTGTCTTGTCTTGTCTTGTCTTGTCTTGTCTTGTTGTCTTGTCTTGTCTTGTCTTGTCTTGTCTTGTCTTGTCTTGTCTTGTCTTGTCTTGTCTTGTCTTGTCTTGTCTTGTCTTGTCTTGTTTGTCTTGTCTTGTCTTGTCTTGTCTTGTCTTGTCTTGTCTTGTCTTGTCTTGTCTTGTCTTGTCTTGTCTTGTCTTGTCTTGTCTTGTCTTGTCTTGTCTTGTTTTGTCTTGTCTTGTCTTGTCTTGTCTTGTCTTGTCTTGTCTTGTCTTGTCTTGTCTTGTCTTGTCTTGTCTTGTCTTGTCTTGTCTTGTCTTGTCTTGTCTTGTCTTGTCTTGTCTTGTCTTGTCTTGTCTTGTCTTGTCTTGTCTTGTCTTGTCTTGTCTTGTCTTGTCTTGTCTTGTCTTGTTTTGTCTTGTCTTGTCT